ACCAATACTGACAAGGTCATATTAGAAGCACCATAGCGGTACCTACAAGCAGGTGCACGTCACGTCTCTTTCCCCGTTTTTAGGTTATACAATTTTTTACATTTTCATCGGGGGAGGGGGGGGGGGTCTGAAGCCTCTTGCCCGGAGTGGTCATTTTTCTGGTTTCACCATTGCGCTAGTGAGCGTAGCGAGTGAGAAAAAGGTAAACATTATATGTATTTTGTGAAAGTGATATTTATCACCAAGATAAACGAGAAAAGATATCAAAATTTCATATTCGGGAAGCTCAGATTCAGTCCCCCCCCCCCCCCCCCCCCCCCCCCCCCCCCCCCCCACCTCCCGCTCGAAACTCGAAACATTTCATTAATTATTAGAATAAGAAGACGATTTGTTGTAGCATTCTCCATTCTCAATCCTTGTTTGAATTCAGTTCTCCCCGTCCGCACGAAGCGCGGTAGCTTTGACCTTTCATTAAATTATTAGAGAAAGAAGAGGATTCGTTGTACCGTTCTCGACTCTTATTACTTGTCTAAATTCAGTTTCCGCCCGCCCACGCGAAGCGCGGAAGCTCTGACCATTCATAGGTTAATGAAATTATTAGAGAAAGAAGATGATTCGTTGTTCCATTCTCGACTCTTAACCCTTGTCTGAATTCAGTTTCCCTCCTCCCGCGCGAAGCACGGAAGCTTAACGTTTCATTAAATTATTAGAGAAAGAAGACGATTCTTTGTACCATTCTCGACTCTTAATTCTTGTCTGAATTCAGCTCCCCCCCCCCGAGCGAAGCGCGGAAGCTTTGACATTTCATTAAATTATTAGAGAAAGAAGACGATGCGCATCACCCCACTCTTCGTGCCGGCCCCTCTGAACGTTTTTTTAAAGTGGGTGGGGGGAGGCTAAAGACATTTACGATCTGGTAGAGCGTAGCATAAATTGGCGTGGAGTTTAGGGGCAAAGCCCCAGCGGGGGTCAAGGGGCTGAGCCCCCGGAAGCGTTATTTTTTTATGCGGCACAGATTGGGGCTTTTTTTAAAAAGGGGTCTTGATTTACAGACTAATACTGGTCGTGTGCGTACTAGACAGTATAGTAGTAGAGGTCTGTTTTTAATAGTGTTACATTTAATCCACTACCGCATGGAAAATCATTACATCAACAATTAAAATCAAATTGGAAATCTGAAGAGGAGGCAGCACGTCAATAAGGAGAACATCACAATAATTAGTCAATAAAACTTAACTAATTTAAACAAAGAGGAATGTCATCTAAACACAGTTCGCGATGGATATACAAACTTCTTCGCAGCGCTAATGCGCTAGCTATAAACATGACTAGTCTCACGTACGTGCAGACAATATTCAGAAGGGAAAGAACGTACTTCCCATAGGTTTAACACGCGCCATGCCCCAATCTGTGCCGCATAAAAAAATAACGCCCCCCGGAAGCTCAGGAAGTATTGGCCAATAATAATGGTCAGATGAGCATATTTTGATACCTTATTCATGACACTGGCAGGTCACTAATTGGCGTGGGGTCCAGGGGCTGAGCCCCCTGAAACTCTGGGATTTGAGTCATTTTATAACGGTCAGATAAGCATCTAGAGGTGTCTTAGGCCCCCTGGTGGGGCGAGGGGCGGAGCCCCCGGAAGCTCAGGGGTTTAAGCATTTAATAACCGTCAAATGAGCATCTAGGGACCCACCTTAGGGCCCTCGGTTAGGTCGAGGGGGCAGAGCCCCCGGAAGCTCAGGGGGTTTTAGGGAATAAATTACGGTCAGATGAGCATCGAGGGGCCTGCCTTAAGGCCATCAGTTAGGTTCAGGGGGTAGAGCCCCTGGAAGCTCAAGTGTTTTATGCATTAAAACTAAATTAAATTGAGTATCCAGGGGCACCGCCTTAGGGACCTTGTTTGAGTCCAGGGGGCAGAACCTTCGGAAGCTCAGGGGTTTTAGGCGTTTAATTAGCTCAGATAAGCATTATTATTATTATCATTTTGTTATTTTGTTACACTGAAAGGTCACTATTCTTTTTTTCTTTCTCTCTTTCTTTCTATTTCTCTTCAATATACATTTTCAAAAAGAGTGGGGGAGCTCGAGGCCCCCAAGCCCCACCGTTCCACGGGCCCTGGCATTCAGGCCTCTAAATAAGCATTTGCCATTTTCCAACAAACGCATAAAAAAGTATATTTACTAAAAAAAGTGAGGAAAAATCTCGGAAAATTACATCATTTGTAATTCATCGGTATTGATTTTTTTCGGGGAGGGGGGCAAATGCCTCTCCCCGGATTTACACTTGTTGGCGGGAAAAATCGCAACTGATCTCCCCTACATTTCGTATTTCTCTTGTTTTTCTATCCCTTTCCCTTCCCTTCCTTCTCTCTCTTTTAGGTTTGCTGGGGGGGGGGGGGGGGGAGGCAAGTCCTTTCGCCCTCCCCCCGATCCACACGTTGTTAGCGAGATTATTCGAAACGATTCCCCCTTATTTTCACCTTTTTTTCTTTCTTCTTCCTCTTTTTTGTTCCTTATCTTCTCTTTTCCTTTTTTCTTTCCCTTTCCCTCCTTCTCTCTTTTTTCTTGCTGGGGGGGGGGGGGGGCAAGGCCCTTTCACCCCCCGATCTCCTTCTTCCCTCCTTTACTTTTCTTCTTCCTTTTTTCTTTCCCTTTCTCTCCTCTTTCCCTTTCTCTTTCCCTTCTTTTCCTTCTCTCTCTCTCCCCTTTTTTTGGCGGGGGGGGGGGGGGGGGGGACAAGGCCCGCTCGCCCACCCCCGGATCCGCGCCTGGAGCACACAATATTGTTAGTAGAAATGAAAAAGAAAAGAAAGATCTAATACACCAACCATGGATAAATCACGGCCGGAAGCGTGGCGGAATGTGTCATATCATAGTTATGTGTTTATGGGTGAGGGGGCGTAGCGACCAAGCGAGATTTTGCAATGTTGAATGCTGAAATTATGCATTCTTGAAAATCCCTAAGCCAAATATGTAAGTTCTTTCCGCTATATTTCTTTCTAGCTATATTTCTAAATTTCCTGGGGACGGTCCCCCTATAGGGCCCAGGATCGCCGCCCTTGTCCATGATTACTACCAACATGAGTTCATACAAGCTCAAGCGAATTGGTATGAGCTGCAGGGCCGTAGCCAGAGTTTGATGGGGGGGGGGGGGGGGCATGTAATTGATCGACGTCCTGGGGAGTTGACTAAAAATTTCAACTAATCTTGGAGAAAAAAAATTGGGGGAACGTGCCCCCCCCCCCCCTCCCCGTGGCTACTGGTCTGATGAGCTGAAGCCAAATGAAGGGAAAAATAAGAGTTGTGAAGCGGCCCCTCTACCGTTAATTTTAAATAGAAGCTATATATTATATAGCTTCTATTTAAAAGACATCCAAAATATTGTGCCCCTTTCAAATTTCTCATCAAAGAGTGATGACCTTTATAAAGCTTAGGGGCTGTTTTTAACGTTTAACTTTGAATCTACGGCTCGAGATTTTATGCGGTCGGCCCCTCTATTCTACGTTACCCGAGCCTTCTTGAATGACCCCCAATCTCCCGATTACAATTTTTCCCTTATTCGTCGTTACTGTCACTTAGCGCCATTTCCTTGTCTGTCCCCCTTTCTCACCCAACTTTTCTCTCTGTCCCCCCCCCCCCACGCGTATGCACGGTTCCCTCTCTTAATCTCCCCTATTCTGAAAAAAAACTACACTGGTTACCTCCGCGCTAGAATTGAGTTCAAGATCCTTGTTTTAACCTTTAAGTGCCTCAAAGGATTAACTCCCACTTATTTAACGGATTACTTTCCCAATATGTTCCAAACAGAACCCTCAGATCTTTCCAAAAGTCTCTCCTAACCATTGCACAAATATATACTAAATTCTACGGGTCTCGTTCTTTTCAGGTTGCATCGGCCGAAATTGGAATAAATTACTGGAAAATCTTTAAAAAAAAGTGTAATACTGTTGACAACTTTAAGGCGCGCCTTAAAACATTTCTTTCCAAAAATACTTTCCAATGTTAACAAGAGAAACTGTATGTTGAGCATATCTCATTCTTCTTATATGCGCTATATAAGTGCGGTATATTATTATTATTATTATTATTATTATTATTATTATTATTATTATTATTATTATTATCTCGATCCGGTGTGAAAGTCAGTAGGCCGGATTTGTGTGTATTACGGGCCGGACTTTGGTGCGTGAATTACCGGAGATTTTGGGAACACGAATTCGGTCCCTCTGACCCCGTAGTGGGACGGGAGTGGGAAGGGGGGGGGCGGGGTGGCTTCCCCCCTTTTTTTTCTCTCTCTCCCTCTCTTTCTCTAGTTCATTTATCTTCTTTCTTTTCACTTTCTTTTCTTTTCTCGTCTCCAGTTTCTTTTCTCTTCTCCTTTTTTTCTTCTCTTAATTCTCCTTACTTTTTTTGCGCCGCCAAAAGGGGGGGGGGGGGGGGGGCGAGGCCGTTTCGGCCGCCTGTATGCGCCATATTGTCTATATATAGAGGTACCTTAATTAACAAATATTTGGGGGCTCTTAGACGACGCCCGTCCCCCACATCCTTATATGAATTTTTCCGGGGGCTCCTACCCTATATAATATCGTTCAGTGGTTCCTAAGAATTAAGAAAGCTCTATATACCAAAATGGCGCTTTTATCCGGCAGTTGTTAACGGTAATCGATAAATTTGACGCTATAAGCCTTAGCTGCCTGCAGTTACCACACATAGCTGCATTACTATACTTGCTGTGTACTAAAAACTGTGCTATTGATTCTCAACATTTTAAACACCACTGTACAAAACTCAACTAATTTCACTCAAAATTGGTACTTTAGGGACAATTGACGACACCTCAATAGCAGTAAAATATATTTTTTTTATTTTTTTGATCTTAATTTTTTTTTTTTTAATTCAAATTGTGGGTCTACTGTCAAACTTTCCGATCAACCGCATCGGCATAATTGTGTGCATTTGTGCGTTGTGAGTGTATTGACTAAATGCCCGTGCCCGCAAGCGCATAAGCATTGACTTTCGATCTCGTATAGTCTATGTTTTGCTGGAGTGACGAAAATGAAGAGTTGTTGAAATACGAGGTGAGTCAAACACACTTCAGCTTGAACCTTGAAATTTCGCTGGGATTTTATGTTTGACTTGTAACGCAGATATAGCAATTTTTCATTATTCTAAAGCTATTACTATAGGTCTAGACCTAGACCTAGATCTATATAGTAATATTCGGATCTAGATTTATTTTAGTATTATGCTGAATTTAATGTTCAGTCCCATGTATTAGTTTCCTTGTGATCTGGCTGTGTATTAAAAGCTGTGCAATTGATACTTTACATTTCGACGCTTGTTCAGAAACTTATCCAAAATTTGACCCGTTACTCCGGCGTGGGGATACCCTACTAAAACATATCCAAAATGAAGTGTAGGAGTCTAAATATTATTAAATGTCCAAATAAAGATCACAAGTTAAAATTTGTTGTGTTTATTTAGGGAGGTCAATGCCCGGGCGTAAGGCTTCTACACTTACGATTTGTGCGCTCGTCGCCCACTTCAAAAAATTAGCAAAGGGAAAAAAATGATGTAAAAATAAAAATTGAAGAAAATAAGAAAAGAAAATACAATTATACATTTCACAACATACCTATAATCACGGATCTGTAACAGTCTTTCACCATTTGTTGACAATCTTGCAGATTTTGACGTTTTTTAATCCAATAATTGTGGTTGCAGACGACCTTGACGCACTCGCACCACCGACTAAGAAAATCCTAGAGGGCGTAGAGGTTTGCTCACTAAAAACCTTCTCATTGGCAGAAGGTAGACCCTAAAAATATGGGATCCGTTTTGAGTAAAGAACTTTTGATAGAGATCAACATTTCAGATGTTCACAATTGCCACTTCTAACAACTAGAAAATATAAAGAAAAAAGATTATATCTTTTTAAATACAGATTTTTACAAACTGAACATTCGAAAGTAGATAGAGTACGATGTTTCTGTCAATCGTGCATTGGTTTGAGCCCTATAGCTACATCCATCTCAAAATGAGAAGGAAAACAGTGAACAGTGACGTCATTGTTCGCGCCAAAAATAAAGGGTATTGCGACATAATCTGAGCTCCGGTCAGATCGTGCGCAAAGCGTAGTCTTATTTATAGACCCTAGTACGTTATTCTCACAGCACTAGATACGAGTGTCGTGCAGTAATGTATGAGAAGTGTTAAAAAAGATATTTCAGTAAAAAAAAAAGTCTACGTGAGCAGTCTATACTCCAATTGAGAATTGAAATGAAAGCCATGATTTGAAGGTGTGTGTTGTATGATACATGGTTAGTGAGTGTGTATGTTACGTATAGCGAAAGGGAGAGAGAGAGAGAGAGTGAGAGAAATATTAGTACACGTACGTTGCATGCATGGATGTGCGCTATGATTGTGTTCGCTGCAAGATGGATGTTAATTGGACCTCGTAACTTCTCGATCGTTGATAATAAGGAATACTCATGAGGAAATCAAATCATTGGAATGCACATCTAAGGTAAATATCAATGAATTATATATATTTCTATTCTTCATTTTTGAACCATCGTCTTCGGCTCGTAGTAGTAGAAGATGTAATCGTTCGCACATTGATGGCTGGACTTCAGCCTGCATCGGGGCTTGCCTGTGTCGGTGGTGGGATCAACTAAGAAGAAGAAGGTGTGTACGTGTGCGACCGATTCAAGGCTAGCCGCTGTTGAGTGATTGCACTTTCGCGCGAAGTTTTAAACTTCATCATGAACTTTGTCCCTCGGGCCTGTCTAATTATGAACGTAACTTTGCGACATGAAATATAATTGTTTCAAGGCTCTTACGTACGGAAAGGCGTAGAAGGAACCTCATAGGAACTAGCTGGATATCTCCTATTTGATGGAACTTCTGGAGTCGGCAGATGGGTGGATTTTCTTAGTGAAAGTAAATGCTTTCTTTTAATCTTAGTTTTAGTATAAACAAATTAGTAATTAAAAAGTTAGATTTGGGCATTGGCCTCCCTAGTTTATTACCTGTTTCGTGTCAATTTTCTTATTTTTGGAGTATTTTTCGGAAAAACATTAGACTAGGTCTAGTATACACTTTACAGGTTTCACGGCAAGCCGTTGCACAATACAAGTACATATCGATGGTGGGTTGCGCGTCCGTGTGAAGTTATCTACCGTAATGAGGATCTGAGTACTGAAGAAAGGTGTTTAGAAATAAGATTCTTAAGGAGAAAATAGGAAATTGATATCATCAATATAAAGAAAATAATAAGTGGATAGTGAGGACATGACGTCACTTACTCATGAGTGAGTTGCCAATTTGTCTAGTGATTTTCAAAGTTGTTAATGTCATTAAAAATTCATAACTTTCATATTAGTTTTTTTTTAATAGTAAGTCTGATTTTTCTGCTTCTATCGAAAGTACCGGTAAGTTGTTTTTGGAGTGGACTTGGGCTTTAAGGGCTTGTTGGTAATATTTTTATGATATCGATTTGTTACATTGCAGTGTAAATTGATTACATGTATATGTTTATAAACACAATATTGATGTACATCAATGAAGTTTATAACATGTAGATGAGAAATTACTAAAATATTGACAAAATATGCATGTTCATGGGGCACACTCAACACAGCATTACCAGTACTGTACTTAGTATGTAGGAAAAAAATTGTAAGAACTAAGACACTCCTGATTAATTCTCAAAACTCTCAAACACTGGTCACTGCTGGACAAAGCTCCTCAACATCTGTAGAGAAAACAAGACAGAAGAGGTTGAGAAGTTCCATCCTCCCCATTTTTTTTTTTTTATATATTTTTTTTTTTGGGGGGGGGGGGGGTGGGAGAGATGGTATTTATGTATTCTTTTATTGCTTTATTATCATAATTGCTTCTATTTTATTTTTATTTTTTTTATCTATTTATTTATTAATTTTAATTTTTTTGGGGGGGTGGTGGATTTTTTAATTTTTTTATTGTGTTAATATCATAATTGCTTCTATTTTTCTTTGTTTTTTGGGAGTGGGGGTATTCATGTATTCTTTTATTGCATTATTATCATGATTGCTTCTATTTTTTTTTGGGGGGGGGGGGGGGTGGGGGTATTCATGTATTCTTTTATTGCATTATCATCATAATTGCTTCTATTTTTTAATATTTTTTTTATATCGGTAATCGTTATGGTCCATCGTCATCAGGCCTAGAGTTTTTTCATCGGGCCTAAAGACGAGTCTGGTTCTTGAACATACAGGTGTATCTGCAATCATTTGGGAATTGGGATCTTACCCTGACATGGTGTGTTATTCATTTCAGACCAGTTGCAGGAAAGTACATGTGGTTGTAGCCGAGTGAGCAGAAGATGGAACATCTCACAGGGTGTGGCAACACTGGAACAAGTGAGGGCGCTGGTCAAACAAAGTTCATTCAGGAACGGGGAATTTCAGTTGAAGATGGTAAGACAAAGAGCCAAACCTTTCGCATGCTTCGGGATCGTTTAACAATACAAATCTGAGATACATGGCCCTATGAGTAATCAGTGTCTGTGATATGGTGTAACATTGAAGCCCTAAAAAAATTGCACTTCAAAATGGTCATGAAGTGCCTCAACAAATTAAAAATCTCTGAGTGACAGGTTTTACCATACTCATTTTCCCAGATAGAATGTAATGTTATAAAAAAACAGTAGGAAACTGTTGTTTGAAATTTCGAATTCCAATCAGAAATATTTTGATAATCAGACAGGCGAAACATTGCCCTTTTTCTTATGTGAATTGAGAGCTGATTTGATGAGATGACCACCAGTCAGTGACCATGCAGAGAGGTCTTATCCCTCCTGGCCATTCTAGTGCAGATTGGCTTTAATCTAAGTTTTTGTAGTTTCGATGACACCACATGCACTTCAAAATTATTCATACTTCTCACCTTAAAGGTAAAGACCAGTTCTGGACATGCGATTGCATTGTGAAAGGAACGTTGTGGAATCGATCAGAAAAGGTTGATCATCTAGCAAATAAGTATTGGTGTGTACTGCAAGGTTCTGGAATATTCAAAATGATAAGAAATTTGGCCCAGTCTTGGTAAAGTTACAAGCACTGTACACAGAAAGATGTACACATGGGACTACGTGACACGTGGGTGATATCTATCCGGTCCGGATAGATATAATAATTTACCAAAAATATCAATTAGTAGGCAGTTTCCCGGCAATATTCGTATTATCATGTATGAGTCAAAACATATTCTTTCACATGATTGGTAATAACAACTTCCATTTCATTTTTTTGAGAGGGGGCCGTTTCCAAAACTGGTCTATACCTTTAATAGCAAATTGCTGTGAAAGAAAGCAGAAAATAAGAGAAGCAAATTGTTGAAAGATGTATGATGTAGTGACTGACAACTCTACCATTTGTTCCTACAAGCAAAACAATTAAATTTAAAAAATGTTTTACTCTAGAGTCTTTTCTTTCTGACCAATAACTACATGTATGCAATCCATGATATATTGTTAGTAGTGCCTCAGGGAGAATTTTACTTAAAGTATTACAAAGTTTTGGTATGGGGTCATGAATTTGGTTCAAATTCAAATTAATTCAATTCAATTCAATTCAATTTTTTTCAATTCAATTCAATTCATTTCATTTTCCTCTTTCAATCGTTCATATTTACAATGATGGTACATTTTAACATATTCACATATTTATATACATATAGATCAATTTGCACAATACAATACATTAAAGAAAATAAACATGATATTGAAAGGGAAGGAGGGCCGACTAAAAAGCAGAGCTTGTAGGGTGTAAGCCCCCCTGTAAAAGTAATTATTTATGAATTATTATTTTGTGAGAAAAAAACAACAACAATAACTGATTCAATAATACAAAAAAAAAATTACTTTTAAACTAACGAGCATCGGATCGGCCGCCGATACCGATCCGATCAGGGGTGATCGGGGAAAAATTTCCGATCGCCGATCAATTAAAATGATCGGAAAAAAATCGGCAATTTTTTTTTTTTTTTTTTTTTTAATGACGAAAATTTTCAAGTTTTTGGCTGTCAAATGCTCAAAAAAGTTCATGGCTGGGATTATTTTGTCATTTGGAGTTGTTGTAGACAATGATCGTTGATATTTAGTGCCTTTTCATGACTTTGAAATTAATAATATTGGTCTAAGAGCAGAGGCAAAACATGCGGGCCGCCATCTTGGATTATAATGTAGGTTTTTTTTTTTTTTTTTAATGACGAAAATTTTCAAGTTTTTGGCTATCAAATGCTCCAAAAAAGTTCATGGCTGGGATTATTTTGTCATTTGGAGTTGTTATAGACCATGTTTGTTGATATTTAGTGCCTTTTCATGACTTTGAAATTAATAATATTGGTCTAAGAGCAGAGGCAAAACATGCGGGCCGCCATCTTGGATTATAATGCATACCTACATTATAATTCAAGATGGCGGCCTGCATGTTTTGCCTCTGCTCTTAGACCAATATAATTTCAAAGTCATGAAAAGGCACTAAATATCAACAAACATGGTCTACAACAACTCCAAATGACAAAATAATCCCAGCCATGAACTTTTTTTAGCATTTGATAGCCAAAAACTTGAAAAATTTCGTTATTAAAAAAAAAAAAAAAAAAAAAAAATCGGCCGATTTTTTTTGTCGCTCTTCCGATCCGATACCGATCAAAGGTGCGAGGGTGTCGCTCCAATCCGATCAGAGCCCCAACTTACAGGGTTATTTTAAACGCAAAACATTGATAAATACATGTTTATAAAAAGAAACAATAAAAGTTGCATAAAGTCACACTACAAATGATATTTGATTCGGGAAGGCAATAGCCTAGTAACTATTCAGAAGAAAGCTTTTAAGTCTCCTTTTGAAAATTTGTATCGAATTACACTGTATATTATCATTTGAAAGAGAATTCCACAGTTTTGGACCTGTAAAAACAAATGTCTTTTGTGCAAAAGATGTTCTATTTAAAATTGAACATATTGGAAGCATATATGCGATCCTACAATATTCAGTGATCGTTGTCGCGGTTGAAATCAAGTCTAAAGTTATGAAATTGTAAATAATAAACTCTTTATGTTGTATAGCTCCCTATCGAGGTCAAGATATTAATGAAGCTAAAAAACAATGTTTCTTGACTAAAATCGACCTACAGTGTATTAGCTATTCCCGTTTGGAAATTATATATCACAACTACATATTCTGAGATTTTCATGGTCGAAACAACCATTGTACGGCCGTAGGAGCTATTTGAAATTCATCAAAATTTACCAGGAGCACTAGTAAATTTGTATATTCAATTTTTTCTCGAAAGCAGAAGTGTTTTAGGGGGCTAAATTTTCTATAGTGCTTATAATACATCCCAGGGGCATCCAAATATATCAAAATTGTAAAGAATTACCATCCACTCAATTTTCAAAATTTCCCAGAACTTTGTATTATTCCTTTAAGAGAAAAACACAAACAGGAGAATTGCTCGGTACTACTACATGTACATGTACTGACCAAATTGCTAATTTGAGATTCACACAGATGAATAACCACAACTCAACTTTATCTTTAACATACCATTTACAAGGCTTTCTGTAGATTTCTTTACATGCATTATGTGTGTAAAAGTATATCTGTTGTTGAAAGTGACTTCATCATATACTAAGTAGTTGTTAAGCCTTCTCTGTGTTCCTTTCTATTACAGATAGCATTCTAAATCCCTTTAGACCAAAGGAAGTTTCCATTGAGAGGGATCAAAGCACCAATGATAGCCCTCGTATTCCAGTCAGCAATAACAGCAGAGGTGAAAGCACTCCCAGTGCAGCCGGCAATACATGCACTACAAATGTGGCAAGAATTGCACCACTGAAGACCCTGGCGAATCGAGTCTATGTGCATTCTATCCAGAAAAGCGTTTGCCAGAGGACAAAGAGTTACAATGCTACATACAAAAGACAAAGAAGTGTTAACAATGAAGAAGGCATCTGCCAGGGAGATGCACCTGAGAGAGGCAATGATGACGGCAGAGGAAGCGTGCCAAAGACTATTGCTAAGACGCCTGTGTATCCAATCTATGCCCAGTCCCTACACCAGAGTCCAGGCAAGAAGGACGCAAGTAGTAGAAGATCTCCCCATAAGAATGAAAGCTGGAAAGCCAGTAATATTGACAACGACTTGAGTGGTACAGCCCATGGATCAGACCACCGTAGAAATCAGATTTCCACAATGGGTGAAGTGGAAGCTACCTTGGGTGAGAGGGAAGGTGCCACCATGGTGTCCAAGAGCCTTGGGCATCCTCCGTCGGTACAGCACCTTGCTACCTCAGGTGAGAGGGAAGGTGCCACCATGGTGTCCCAGAGCCTTGGGCATCCTCTGTCAGTACAGCCCCTTGCTACCTCAGGTGAGAGGGAAGGTGCCACCATGGTGTCCCAGAGCCTTGTTGGGCATCCTCCGTCGTTACAGCACCTTGCTACCTCAGGTGAGAGGGAAGGTGCCACCATGGTGTCCCAGAGCCTTGTTGGGCATCCTCCGTCGGTACAGCACCTTGTGAATGGGACTGTGAGTGACATTAGCAGCTTTGCTCGTGAGATTGAGAACAACCTGCGTGAACGGAACAGCTGGTTAGGTGTCTATCCTATTCCCATGTATAGCTCCCTTGATTCCCAGACTCGTCCCAACATGCTGCAATACCCAATGAACTTCCAGTCTATGCATCAGAACAACCTTAGAGTGGACAGTGAAAATGATGGCAGCAGCTGCACCAGCAGAACCCAAACTGTGTCAAGGGATGATAATGAATTGAATGATGCAGAGAAGCTGGCTATTGAGAAGGCTCAGAATGTTGTGAAGTCTCTTTCATTGAAGACATCATGGAAACCCAAAGAGCAGTTCAAGTGCGAGTCCTGCGACAAGATCTTCAAGTATCAAAGTCAACTGAAGCTGCATGAACTGAAGCACACTGGTGATCGTCCATTCCAATGTGATGTCTGTACCGATTCTTTCCGAAGCCGTAACCAACTCACAAATCATCACCGGAAACATTCAGGGGAGAAGCCTTACGTGTGTAAAGTTTGCAACATGGCGTTTCGCCGAAGCAACCAGCTCAATGTCCATGTTCGCCAGCATTCTGGTAAGCGTACCTTCCAGTGCCAGTATTGCGAAGAGGCATTCGCGGAGAAGGGTAGCTTGTGTTCTCACATGAGAACACATGCAGGTATCAAACCGCACAAGTGTGAGGTCTGCGGCAAGGCTTTTAAGAGGCGGAGTCAGATGACGCCTCACATGCGTGTGCATACTGGGGACCAACCATTCCTGTGCTCCCTGTGTAACCAAGCCTTTAGCCAGAAGGTACACCTACAGTCACACATGAGGAAACACAGTGGGGAGAAGCCGTATGAGTGTGAGGTCTGCCACAAGACGTACCGGGATCATAGCCAGCTCAAGTCACATTTCCGGGTGCACACTGGAGAAAAGAATTACAAGTGCAAACTGTGCCCGCTGGCTTTTAGGTATCTACCGCAACTTAAAAAACATTTGAAATCATTGCATGCAGATGAGGCGCCCGTTACTAGTTCATAGGTGTTCGTTCGTTCTGATGAAACCGCTATGATACTGCCCCCAGGCGCGGATCCAGGATTTCTTAGGGGAGGGGGCCCAACTTTTTTTTTTTTTGCTCCCGAAAATTTGAAAAGCGCGCCGGCCAAAAATTCGCTCAGTGGGGGGGGGGGGGGGGGGGGGTAGTGAACACATTTTTTTTTTTTTTGATCCTCAAAAAAAATTTCAATTTGCACCCCCCCCTTGAGCGCCAGGGGGGGGGGCCCAACCCCCCAAAAAGGTAAAAATCACGTGATTTTACATGATTTTTTTCTCAAGGGGGGGGGGGGGCCCGGGCCCCCCGGGCCCCCCCCCTGGATCCGCCACTGACTGCCCCCGATTTGTTAGTTACAGGAGTTTGAGAGAAAAGTCAGAAAACTGTGAAGAAGACTAACATGACATCTAGGCAATAACAGAACAAAACAAAACAAATCCTATGGATATAGGTTTATAATTTGTAACAGTCATACTGTACACTATGATGGTAAACGTTAAAAGGTTCCAATATTTTTTTGTCCAAATTGATTGAAATATGGCTGGAGGCATTCTATAGAGTGGTTTGTGAATACTAAAGCACCTTTTCACCTTGAAAGTATCCATTGACTGATTGTTTCCCATTAATGCTTCTTTGAACCCTTGTTGGTTTCTCTTCTACCCTGTTTGGTTTCAAGACCAAGGGTGTAACACAGTGCTGAGAAACCCAGTGTCGCATCTTTGACCTACTGTAGTCAAGGATAATAAGCAATTTAGAAGTATAATATTTGATATGTACATCCACACGGCCCCGTCTTACAAAGACTTTAATACGATAGATCCAAATCAATCCCAAGTCCTCCAATCAATCAGTTTGCAATCTCCCATCTGTTATGTACATAGTTGCGATTGATATCAATCGCAAATAGGTTTTGATTAAAGGGAAAGTCCACCCCCAAAATAAGTTTGTTTCGATAGAGGCAGAATAATAAGAAAATCAGGTGAGTGAAAGTTTGAGCAAATTCTGAATGAAAATAAGAAAGTTATGAATTATTGAAGTTGTGATCAATCAAATACAAATTGGCAACTCTGTGACTTATCATACGAGCTCTCCTTCATTTGCTTTGTGCATAATTTTCCATAAAATCATGTTTTCTTCGTTATTGATGACGGAATATATATTTGTTCCTTGCAGGGGGAGTATAGAAACATATTTGCAATTATTATATTTAGGGTGCATGTATGGTTGAAATTTTTCTTGAGGGAAAATGAAAATTTTAGATTTTTTTAGTACTGAGCAAATGGAAGTTGAGCTCGCATGATATGTCATAGAGTTGCCAATTTGTGTTTGATTGATCACAACTTAAAAAATCCTAACTTCCTTATTTTTAATCGGAATTTGCTCAAACTTTCACTGACTTGTTTCTCTCATTTTTCTACTCCTATTAAAACTAACTTAATTTCAGGGTGGACTTTCCCTTTAATATCAACGCTTACAATGACTTACAACGCACCAATCATTAAAGGGATAGTCGAGTTCTTGTTTCAGACCGCAAATACCTTCAAAGTGTGTGTTTATTGCTCTTATTCTTATCTATGACATTTCTAGTGCCCTTTTGGGAACTAAAACTGCTATGAAGGTAATTTTAGACCCCAAAATGTGTAAAATTTAGCCAATACGATCATACCAATTCAGCTCCACTTTCAAAAAAATATGGTGACCGTTAATTAATTAATGAATTAATAATAATAACAATACATGGGCCAGCTGGTTGTGCGTAATATAACCAACACGACAAAGCCAACAAAAAACAGCTTTTTCAAATTATCTGATATTTGTGGTGGTACACAAAATTAGAAATCATTATATTTATGGATATTTCAGCCGTCTCTGAACCGATTTTGATCAAACAAAGATGATATTGTCATTTAAATTGTATTTTCTTTCAAATTTTACACTCAGTTTTTCATTATTTCACCAAAAAAATTATTTTGTGTAGCGCCCTCTGCAACGGAACTCAACTATCCCTTTAAAAAAATAATGTGTGTACAGCTAGAATCATGTATAAAATCTAGCCCCCTAAAAACTATACCGGCTCTCTATGGGTAAACAGATACATGTATAAGGGGTATGAAGAAAATAAGAATATAATAAAACAGTGCACGTGACATGGAACCCAATTCGGGCCTGGGTTCCGTGCGTACCATGATATGCGAGCGCGTCCATGAGCGTTCAGTATTCTACTTGATCAGTACTTGCAAATCACTTTCATGTATAAGGCCTAAAAAAAAAAAGATGTTGTATTGCCCTTTGCCACCGACCCAAACATCTTGAAATCTATGGTCAGCTTTTAATTTTTAATTTTTAATTTTTTTTTACCGTTTTTGGCGGAAAAAAATGTATTAAAGCATTCAAAACTGAGAAATATCTGCCCAAAGAGGGAGAAGAAAAAAAAAGTTTAAAAAAAAGATTTCTGACCGACCAACCAATGTTTTGGCACCTAAAGGGCAATACAACATTTGTTTATTTTGTTTAGGCCTACCGTAATGGAAAGTGTACGTGTTAAGTTAAAATTGCAAAATCTCTTTATAGAATTGATATTTGAAGCTCATATTAATTGCAACATGAAACTAATGGAAGAATATACAAAACAATAGTTTGTGGGGATTGGTACCTTTCAATGCAGCACTACTATATATATATATATATCGGTAGGTCAATGCCAGTGTGATTTGTGTGTGTGTGTTTGTGTGTTCACAGGAGCTATTCTGGAATTTGCTTTAACAATTTGAGATTTCAGTCCTCATGAGGATTCTAGTGCAATGCGTGTATTTATTGTTGCTTTTTGTTTAATTCATTTTTTTTTTTTACCAGAGGTATTATTTTGTTTCTAGAGCTAAAGAGCTAATCAGATATTATACAAATAATACATGTTTGGGAACTGCGAGTGCATTAGTGAATATGCACTGCACCCAGGCTAAGTCACAGCAGGATAATGAACGAGATTTGTCGAGAGCTAATCAGATATTATACAAATAATACATGTTTGGGAACTGCGAGTGCATTAGTGAATATGCACTGCACCCAGGCTAAGTCACAGCAGGATAATGAACGAGATTTGTCGAGATCTTTGTCTGTCTCAAGTGCAGTGCATATCACTAATGCCCGAGCTAAAAACGTGTAATATTTGTTTTATAAGAAAGGTATAAAGTAGAGAAATTGAGGATTGTTATCCTCAAAATGCACTCCCCTTACATACATGTAAAACTTAATACACGCGCACGTGATCCATTTCGACGCTTCTAATTGGCTACATTCTTGAACCCATTTCATGAAGTTGAAGTATGTTACTTTTTGTTGTTAGATAATGTGAATGATGTTGGTTTTGTGTTTGTAATTGTACTGGGCAGATTTTGCCTTCTTACTGACAAAAACATGTGATGAACATTAATTTGCCCATGCTGCCCCAGTTAATGGAATAGCCTCCATGACTCTCTTAGAGACATTGATACAAAAGATAAATTTGAGTCTGCCCTTAAAACACACTTATTTCAAATGTTAACAGATGTTTAAAGTTGCCCAAAGATGGACGTACATACCCATGAGAATGACTTCATTTTTTGTGCAGTTATGTAGCTAGATATATTCCATTTTTAAATCATAATTATTTGATAAATTAATCTTAAAATTGTGAGGCATAAGATATCCTGTTTTCATTATTTTCTTAGACATAAACTCAAAGAGGACCTAAAGCCGTCGATCTTCTGGTTGCTTACTAACCCGGCCCCTCACTCAGTGTTATTTAGGGTACGCGTATGCTCGTTCCCTCTTTTTGAAAGCACCCCCTATCTGAGGAATGCCAACATTTCCGAACCCCCCTTTCGCGGGCTTTTCCTGTCTTGGAGACCCCCCTAAATCAGGAAAAATGCTCAATGTACCCCCTAAATTCGGAATAATTTTTCACGAGTCCAAAGAGATGAGAGAAAAAAAGAAAAACACCCCCTTTTTAAAGAAATCTCCAGGTGAAAAGTCAAATGCACCCCTTTTTTTAATTTTTTACAATTCTCGGGCCGGACTTTGTCGCACGAAAAGTACCCCTTTACTGGACATTTTGGTAACACGCATGCGGTCATTCCGACCCCGGAGTGGGGGGGGGGGGGGGGGGGCTTACTAACAAGCATTTAGTGCTTTCTTAGCCGTCAGGTAAAATTACCATAATATTGAAATCGTGAATTTGTCATTTATCATGGTTTTATGAAACGCGATAATATTGATATCGTGAATTTGTCACTTATCATGGTTTTATGAAACGCTATAATATTGAAATCGTGAATTTGTCACCTATTATGGTTTTATGAAACGCGATAATATTGAAATCGTGAATTTGTCACCTTTTATGGTTTCATGAAACGGTTACCCGCTTCATGATATCTCCATGAGTCGCGGACAAAGATATGATTTCGTGAAACGACTACTTGGTGCACAAAAACTATATCGGGGGGGGGGGGGGTATTTCAAAAAAGGTAAATTCTGAAGGTTTGACCACAATTGGTAAATCCCTTGAGAAACTAATGCCAGGAATGGTGAGAGAAAACAGTGGCTTGCACGGCCTGCCATAGATAAGTCCAATTTAAAGTCGATCTACCATGGTCAGGCACGTAGCCAGAGTTTGATGTTTGGGGGGGGGGGGGCACATGTAATCGATCGAGGTAAAAAAAAACCATCTTGGATTTTTTTTTGGGGGGGGGGGGGGCACGTGACCCCCCCCCCCCCGTGGCTACGTGCCTGACCATAGTTATGAAACACCCCATAGTACTATTTTGAGAATTTCTTTGTTCATTGGAGTAGGTCAAAGAAATGAATCATGGTTGTAATTTGTATTCTCTGTAAAAAGAACATTATTTGGATTGTGATAGTGATGCATCCTGTTAACATGTATTACATTGACTTTCGTGTGTGTGTGTAATTAAAACTTAATTTTTTTTTAATGACTTTTTTTCTTTCTGAACTACATGTTCTTGATAATTTGAAAATCAATAAAGAAGA